GTTTCAGATGCTGCATGGGATCAGATAGCTCCGTGCTCACAGATACACCTGAAGAGCTTTCAATTCATGATTTAAGTCAGGGGGGATCTCTAAGACCCCTGGGGTTGAACTTTACGATAAGGGATAAGTACATTTATTGACTGCGAAGCTTGGTTTCATGTAATCTTGGTAATATATATCTTTTATGACTTTGTTGTGCAAGTATAAACAAGTATGATCTATGGTAATTCAAATTGATGTCACAAACACTGTCATCTCCGGTTTCACAAGTGTTTTGCCATCCCTGTGTATGTGTCTATTTCTGATCTTATTGGTTCTTGCACAACAACTTTGATGTAAACAGGTTATTTATTTTACCATACACACTCAAAAAGATTATTCTTTTGATATGTGAATGCTTGTTCTTGTGTGAATCGATTTAGGCTATTGGTTGGTCTCATCAGGATGGCCCAAGACTGTGACCCAGATTGGTGGTATCAACAGGTAAAGAACTACAGTTGAAACTTCACAGACATATCATTCCGAATCAAATAAAATTAAGAAAAGAGTATAATCATTATAGGTTATGATGAGAAGTTGTTAGAGAAATCATTGCTCTCTTCTATGCTTGCAATTTCTGAAGGTAGCATTTAAGAGACACATTGTTCCTTACATTACCTTCCTATTCTGCTCTTCCCTTGTCAATCTGGTACTGTCCTTTGTGATCTGTGCACATCACCAGCAACAAGTACCCCCAAGCCACAGCTGTCTTCGTTGTTCATGGAATCAATGATGCCAAAGCATCTCTCTCTCTCTCTCTCTCTCTCTCTCTCTCTTCTGCAGCTTGCAGGCCAAGTTGATGCACGATACCATGAGCGTTGCAGCACTATTATTCTACCCATCAAACATGAGAAATGGGACGGGGGGAAGAAGGTTGACCGTACGGACGGGTCAAACCCAACATGGAGGACACAACTCCCATCGTGACGATGGATTCCTGCACGCACTTTCCGCTTGCATGGTTAGGAACACAAGTCCTCATCTTAGATATCATACGAACACCCTTCTGTAGCACGCAAATGCACTGTGACGCATCAGCAGGCCTTCCATCAGTAGCAGAGCTCGAGCTTGTCGTCTCTGCTTGGGTGGATACGAAGAGGATCGCACGGCCACCATGCATCATCGCTGTCTCTGACATGACACCGTTGCAGGATTCGCAAGACGCGGACATGCGCGCGTGGGATGCATGCCATTGCCACGTACGGCGTTGGTGTCACCGCGCCGGTGATGGGTAGCGCCTCGTGGCCCGTGACTGGGCACGACATCGGGTACAAAGCCCCTCGTGGTTGGCTGGGACTGGCGGGTCCCGGTCGCTATTGCCGAGTCATCTCAGGGCGGTTACTCTCGTGCAATCACCCACCCTCGCAGCCACCCATCAAATCACACGAGTGCCAAATCGTACGGTCGAGCGCACACGTGTGTGGGTTGCCTTTTGTCTGCTCGCCCGTGTAGCTGTCGCACCCAACTGTACTCCTTATGGACATACGTAGAAATACATCATTTTATGTACGAAACGAGATATATACATCTTTCAGGCTATCCTTTTAATATTTTAACATTATTATTAGTAGTGTTAGGATCCGATTAATATTATGGAACTCAGTGGAAGAATATTGTCCTGTAAGAACCAATCAGATCGTTAAGAGACACTCACTCCATTGGCATGAGTATCATCTATAAAATTAGCCAATTAAAGAATATATTTTTTAAAATAAAAAATATTCTAAAAAATATTTTCTTCTTTATAGATTAGGATTGATTTGAAATAATAGTTAATTGATATTTTGATATGTTAATTTCATAATACTACTAACCTTAAGTTTGAATGAAAAAGAATGAAGACGGGATATTTATAACAAATATAGAACTATATCATCATCATCATCATCGGCATGGATGGATTTTAATCGATCGTAAAGTTTAACAGCAGTAAAAAAGTATATGAAGTTGGAGTATTATATAAATCATATAATTAAGTAAGGATGCAACACTATAATTTCCATAAGATTATCTCTCTCTCTCTCTCTCTCTCTCAGGAAGGAATCCAAAGCCTTTATACTGCTTTATGATATGCTTCCAAATGCCTTTGTGAATCAAACTGCACAACTCCTTACAAAATATTCACAATCAGCATCATTACACTAAATAACTATAGCACAACTTTGTACAAACAACAATAATGATGGAGACTGAAGCCAAAAACAAAGTCATAATTATTCTTAGAATCTATTCCTGTTAATGTTTTGGATATCATCTCACCAAATATTCATTGTTGATGATCTGCGTTTGACTATCTGAAACTGTTGATCATGTGAGAGTCAGGCACTTCCAATAGATGACCTGACTACATACAATTGGAGTCATATATTATGTTCAATAAATTTCAAGATATGTGTATTGGTAGCTAACTTCAGTTTGACAATAAAAGAGCTCAAATGACAATAACTGTCATTGCATCAACATGTGAAACATTTGGGAAGAAAGAAAACAAGTTAATGCATAAGCTTGTGGGGTTAGATAGATAGTGTGCCTGCAATAACAATTTCCAAAGTGCTTTGAATCACACAAGGAGTTAAAACATGCAAAACAAGTCTTTAATCATTGGACTATTTGATACTCTCATACTCTGTGAGACTGCAACAAATGGATTTCATGTGGAGATGCAACTAAAGAAGAAATCTGTGGTTGATGGCATCAATCAAACACAATCACAGACTCTGGTGACAGTTATAGAAAAGAAAGAAAGTATGTATGTATAGGTCAAGATGTTTATGAAATCATGCCATGATATGTTTAAGATGAGCAATTTGGTTATTGAGTTCATGCTGTTATGAAATCCTGATATCAGCAAGCAAATACAGCATCCCTTAGCACAATCACCAGAAACAATTCTACAGCAAATTAATATACATCTTTCTGCTTAAACCACTGCTGATGCATCAATTCCACAGTGCACACTGGATTAATTTAAGAACTACTGATCACAAGATCCCAATCATCCAATGAGTTGAAATGACAAACACCAACTATGTTTTCGGAAACCAAAATAAGTTATTTACATGCTTCTGTATATTGACACAAGGGATGTCAAATAAGCCTTGAAACTTATTAGTTGCAGCTACTGCCATTTGTGCTCACTGAGATGATGCTATGAACTCTCTTGATGAATATTAGGTTGTAAATCTTGATAATGCTACTTCTTTTAGCTAATTTTCTTTGTAGCATTTTTGATCCACTACTTCACCTCTACCTTAACAGATATGTTTTACTATTAATAAGTTTCTTTCTCTTCCAATTTTATCGATTTCACATTTATCAGTTTTTGTAGAACAAAAGCATAATCAATATCTCATTAGACTTCAGTTTTCTTCTTACTTGAAGAAATTGCTGAGATAACAGTAAAAAAGAACAAAAAAATTACGATGATAATAGTAGCATCAACAATAACGAAACCAATAAAAAGGAACCAAAATAAGATTCATCCTATTCTTACAGCAGCAAGCTGCATCATGTACAAGAAGCAAAACAGGTGTAGCCTCAGATATAGTTTGTGGTGTAGGATATGAATGCCAAACAAATCATCACATTCCTATGTGAATCTACTCTTGACTGGTGCAGACCACACAAGTGTGAATTAACACTTACTAACTGTATAAGAAATTTCAATGAGAATCATATTCAAGCAATCAACTTTATCGACATACATATTTTCGATTGTCCCATGAGTCTATGAGCAACTTGATATCATACAGTGATTATGTTTAGCCAGAGAATATGTGAGACAAAGTAGCATTGTGTTGTAATGTTATGATCTATATATATAACACACATGAATGCCTACATGGGAGATAAAGTTATTCCAGTTAAACCAATTAGTGAGGAGTAATCTCCAAATAAACATGCAAAATAAACCGTCAGTCAGCATACATAGGAACATGCATTGGAAGTCTGGAAAACCATCACCCACTGGTCTTATCATAAATCATAGCCACCATTCACTTCCCAAAAATGCATGTCTCCATATGCTTACATGTTGTTATTAACTTCACTTACCTTGATTCAATGAATAGTGCATCTTTTGTCTTGTAGTATAGTTGTTATATATAAACATATAGATATGTGCACCATGTCTCAATGATTTCTCATATTTGCATGCTTTGAAACTTAATTTTTTTTTACACCAACAACAAAAATCTATCATCAAATCAAATGTCTACAGACATTTTTTCTATCCTGTCATAAGAAATTTAGAGAAAAAAAAAAACATAATTCAGTAGTTTCAGAAGAAAAATATTTTCCCTGTAAGTGTATGTAACCTTAGAATCCATAAAACTAGCAAGCAAAGTCTACATGTCCCTTGTTACATTTGCAAGACACCACCAATGGTAACTTAATTTGCTTGTGAGTGCACCACTTAGTTAAGGAGTCCATGGCAAATTACTGAGAAGCAAAATGCTGAATTGCATGAAAACATTATCTAACAAAGTCAATCAACTTCATCTTCGACATCTATAAAGAGAAAAAAAATAGAGGGAGAGAGAGAGAGAGAGAGAGAGAGAGAGAGAGAGAGTGAGATTGACAGATCAGGAAGAGCAGTAGCTTCTGATCTGCAACAAGAATCTAAGTCTCAGCTCATAGCTCTCATCACTCAGCTCCAGACCAGAGCAAGTCGTACTGACGTCCTTTTCCTTGTTGCTTACTGTTAGTAGATAAATGGATCTCGGTTGTGCAGGCCGAGAGAAGAGGGCAGAGATCTCGAGTACAGTACCGAAGCAACGAGCGAGCTCCAAACTCCAAGTACAGTACTCGCCTCCTTGCCTTAGGATTGTTAGCCACACTAATGATAACACCGCGCTTGTTTCCACAAAACTGAGGCAAGTAATGGCGAGGGGATGTTTCATGGAATAGTGACATAAATATAGCAATATGATGTTCCAAGGTTCAATCAGAACAGGGAAAGAGAAAGCAACATGAACTGATGATACTGATACTAATGGCTTGAAGAGAACAAAAGGCTAACACACGGATATAGCTAATACTCTCATCATATATGGATTTGGAGCTCATCTGTAGATTGGAAGAGAGAAAGGCTCGGAGGCGTATCTGCTAAGTTCCTGGTCGGTGTTATGCCGCAGCAGGTGGCGGCGGAGGGTGTTGCTGGTGCTGCTGGGGCTTCTTGCGCTTCTTCTTCTCGTAGCTGACGCCGCGGGCTTTGGACTGAGTTTCGCGGACTTCACGGAGGTAGAGGCGGACGGCGCGAGCGCCGAACGGGTTGGACTCGGGCTTGCCTCCGTTCTCTTCGTAGGCGGCGCGAAGGCGGCCGATGAGGGCGTCGAGGCTGCCCCAGGCTTGGCGGAGGGGGCAGGGGCAAGGAGCCGGGGGGTTGGGGTGGCCGAAGAAGGGACACATCTGGGTGTGCACCTTGGTCTTGCCGAATTGGTCGAGGTAGCGGAGGAACTCGAGCACATGGGCGCCGCTGCACCGCGCGAGCGACAGCGGGGGTCGGTGATTCTTGAGGTACTGCCCGAAGGTGTTCCAGTCGCGGCGCTTCTGTGACTCGTAGCGGCTCAACGACGGTGATGAGGAGGAGGAGGAGGAGGAGGGCGCTCCTGTGGAGGTGGCGGTGGAGGAGGACGCAACCTGCTGGGGGCTGCTGTTAAGGCCGCCACTGTTGTCGGAGTGGGGGCTATCTGGGTTAGGTACGAAGTCCATCAAAGACCGATCAAACGACCTCTCTCTCCTTGATTTGCTTGCTGCTGTCACCTTGTCTACTATTCTTGCGCCTACACAGAAGGTTAGAAGAAGACGATGATGACGATGAGGATGTCAAAGTGATAAAGAAGCATGCATCTGTAAGGAAGATAAAGCAGTAGCTTTGAATGGTCTTATGGTCACGCTGATTACTTTGGATGGAGCGGAGAACGTTTCTACAAAGCCATGACAAAGCTTGAAGGAGAGAGAAAGAGCAAGGCAGGGGGATATATATACAGAGAGAGAGAGAGAGAGATGGAGTTCAGTTTAAGTATGGAATGGTTACCTTTAGGGCTGCAGTTGATCTGTTGTCAGAAGCGAGGAAGGGTTGGAACACTCAACAAGCAGAGGTCCTGACAGATTTAAGTAGATCACAGGTTAGTAGAAAAGAGAAGGTGAGGGAGATCAAAAGAAGAAGAGAGAAAGGTGGAAGCCTCACTGGTTTGATTCCTCACACTCCCTGGTGGTTGGTGAAAAGATTCCGAGAGAGAGAGAGAGAGCGAGAGAGTGAAAGAGAAAGAATTTAGGGGGATTACATGCTTCTGAGTGCAGAGAGAAAGCTCCCTAGCTGTGGAGATGTTGTTTGGTCTAAAAGGGGAGGATGATCCTGGTTTTCTGGTGTTGCACAAGTGAAACAAGAGAGAGAGAGAGAGAGAGAGAGAGAAAGGGTTTTTATCTTGTGTGAAGGGAGACAAGGAGACAGTGGGATGAAATGTGATGTGACATGATCAAAAAAAAAATCTAAGTTGGGTGAGGAGGTGACTATTTATAGCAGCAGAATTAAATCAAAAGGAATAAGGTTTTCTTTCTCATTATTAATCATGTTTTTTTTCTACTCAATATAGTTTATTACAAATCTACAATCTTTTTTGTTAATGAAGGAAGGATAAATAAAGCTGATGCCTACCTAACTCATGAGAACAACCATTTCCTCTTTGAAGTTGGGTATATTATTTTTGTTCATAGCCATTGAGCTCTAATAAAATTAATATCATTGATCAAATAAAAAAAATTTCTTAATGTTATTAATTATAATTGACCAACCACTGTGTATTTACTGTCAACTCTTTTCCATTGATGTGCCAAACTCCAAAACAAAGAGCACTGTGTCAGGTAGTTGATGATCAGTATAAGACTTTCTCCATCATCAATATATTTATACAATATACAAATCTACAGTATGTACATATAAAAAATGAAATAATGAAGGCACTTGTCACATATAAACCTCAGTGTATCAAACAGGATAGTTCCAAGAACAGTGCACAAGGTAAAATGAGCTACTAAGATCTGTCTTAGAGGCTAACTGAGGTTTCAGCAATATTTTTTCTGTGATTTATTATTTCCTCTGCATATGCATATAAAAAAATTCAGGTAAATATTTTTTGCTGAATATAAATAGGGTTTAGGTCATTATGTGTAATGCCAATTGCAATGTATTGGTGAGACGACCTTAATAATAATTTAGTAAATTATAGAAATATTGTTCTTGCGACGGATCGAATCATCGAATCGATGGTACACCAAGTTGTGCTGCTCGATATCATAAAAAATAATAAATATAATCCGATATTAATTTATGCGCCGACAGGTCATCTTGATTGGTGGCATGTATTGGATTTATCAGTGGTTTAGAACTTCAGAGTTTGATTTGATGATAGACTTGAGAATTAAGTATATTAATTTTGCTGAACAATGTGTTGCCATTGATCATAATAATGTCTAGGAAATAATGGAACACCATAATGAATGGTTAACATGAGAGCTGATCAAGTTCCCATAAAGCAAGTTTTGGAAGAATGAACCATTTGTTTTTGTCTTTTGGATTGCTTTAGTGTTACTTTATCTACTCCATTCCAAGGGTGAATTATGACTTGTATGAAATGCATTTTTATTGTTTGTGTAGCTGCCTGTTTCCACAGTGTTATCGAAGCATTGAATGATGTGGCAGTGCCAAACAACTTGTCATAATTTGATTCTTTTCATACAATCAATCCTCTTAGGATGGTATTAAATCCACTAAGCTATTAGGTTGGATATGAATCTTCAACCTACAATAACACATCAAACTCAAAAACTTAGAGAAGACCATAACGAATTGGGTTGAGAATTGCCACTTGCATTTAAATTCATGGCAACAAAGTTTTCTATTACTACTTTTATGATGAGAACTAGTAGGCTTAACATACTGACAGCCAGCATGAATACAAAAATTTTGAAGATGCTGATTGCATTTATAAAATCCAATAGTAAATCCAAGGTATATAATTAGTGAACTCACAGTACTAGGAAAGCAATGCAAACAATGATTATTTAGTCTCTTTACCCTGCAAAGGGTGGCCCTTCTACAACCCTAGTCTTAGCTTTCTCATGGATTTCCACATACATTTCAGAATATTTCAGAATGTAACTCTTTTAAGAATGATCTTGCATCAATCTAGATTAATTAGTAAACTCAGGGTACTAGGAATGCAATGCAAACAAATATTATTTAGTCTCTCTGCCCTGCAAAACGTGGCTCTTCTACAACCCTTGTCTTAGATTTCTCGTGGGTTTCCACTTACAATTCAGAATCTTTCAGAATGCAACTCTTAAGGAAGATCTTACATCAATCTTTATTAATTAGTAACCAACAAAGAACATGAGACTTCTGATAGGTTGGAGGCATAAATAAGTTCAAGAAAGTACAAGGAATGCACCTAAATTAAGGATTCAATTGATGAGAAGACAAGCACTTTATGCTTTTTGAAAGAGAACAGAAGGAACATACTGTAAACTCTCCTCCCATAGAAAATGGTAGGCAGTGAGCCATCAGAGGTGAACAAGCCCAGTTTTCTTTGTTGAACATCTTTTCCCAGACAAAAGCAGGGTTTAGGACACCTTCATGCCTCAAAGTTATCAAAAATGTTGAGGTTATGATACCAACACATAAAGAGGGAATTTAACCTGGCAATTCCAGAGTCCTGAACGAGGGTCTTGCCAATGGGAACTGTGACAATGGACCATTGAAACAGGCGGATGAGATAAATATTCATAATCAGAAAGAATCTGTGAACAATATCATGACAAGTTCAGTGTAAATAATTATATCTAACAATTGTTGAAGTACTGCAACACACTAAACAATAACTTTAAAATGCGTTGCACGTGCCAGGTACCAGATAATAAAGCTAGAGAATGAGAAGCATGTTGATTTTTGAATGAAGTGTACAACTGAGAATCTGTAAACAATCTGAAGTCTGAATCAAAGTCTGCTACGCGCTACAGTGGCTGTTCGGCAGCCATTCATTTATAAATCAGACTTCGGATTAATTTTTTCCTGAAACATAAACAGGAATAACCTTTATATATGAACAAATACTATAAGATCATAATACGCAGCGAAATTAAATGGAAGCACAATCACAAGAGAACCCCTCAATGTGAAGGGTAAAAACCACGGGACAAACTAAAGATAATCTACTAGAATAATGAATATACAAATCTCAATCTCTTGCCCTAAACCCTAGCAACAATCACAAGAGAACGACTGGGATACAAGGATCACATCACTGCCTACAATATCTAAAATCTCCCCAAGTAATCACAGCAAGAGTCTACTATCGATTTGATCTAACATGAGATGAGAACACTGCTAGATGATTGAGAACAGCCTCTCTGCGTTGTCCTTGTCTTCTTTCTTTTCTTTTTCTTTCTTTTCTACCTTGTTTTCCTCCTTGTCTTTGGAATCCCGTGGCTCTATCCTTCTCCCACGTTGCTGCCCTATTTAAGCATTTTTCTACCTCCAAAACGCAGCCAACACACCCCCCTAATGTTAATTAGGGTTACGTTAAGAGGGGGTGTGGGTTGTGGGCTGCCCAAGCCCACTATGGGCTGGATTTGTGAGCCGCCAGCCCAACAACCTCCCCCTTCAGCCCATAAGGGAGGCTATCCCATGACTCCTCAATGTGAAGTCATGTCGATCAGTTGTCGGCATATCTCCTGTCTTTCTTTTGGTAAAGTTTTTGTCAACATGTCTACTCCGTTGTCATCTGTGTGAATTTTCTGAAGCTGCAACTGCTTCTCTTCAAATATATTTCGAATCCAATGGTATCTGACATCTATATGCTTTGACTTGGAATGAAACATTGGGTTCTTACACAAATGGATGGCACTCTAGCTGTCACAATGCACCACATAATTTTTTTATTTCGGCCCCAATTCTTGTAAGAATTCTTTCATCCATAACATTTCTTTGCATACTTCTGTAGCAGCAATATATTCTGCTTCTATGGTGGAGAGAGCAATACACTTTTACAACCTAGATTGCCATGACACAGCTCCCCCTGCAAAAGTAAGTACATAACCTGAAGTAGACTTTCACGTATCTATATCTCTTGCCATATCTGCATCTGTGTAACTTGTCAACACATGTGGTCCACCTCCAAAGCTTAAACAAATCTTAGA